TTCCTCACCCAAAAAGGGGTCCACCCTTCGGGGAAAAAAAAAAAAAAAAAAAAAAAAAAAAAAAAAAAAAAAAAAAGCAAGCCTGCACCAGGGCTGCCTCTTATTCCAAACTACTATAATCTCCAAAAACTGTCAGTCCAAGTAGCTGGATAAGAAATTAGAACATGTGTGGGTGGATTCCTTCCTCCAGCCTGAATTTAATTAAAAGTGATTGTTTGCTGTATTATTTTAAAGCAGATTTTTGGAACAGGTTAAAGAACCACAGTTCTGACTTTAGTATTTCAAGCCTAATAAGAAAGAGTCCTGTATAAAAAGCTGTAGGAGGAAAAGGTTTATCACGGACTTAAACATAAAGTATGTCTTATGTTTTCATTTGTTGCTTGGAGAAGTTCACGCATTCTTGTACAAGACCTACCTCATTCAGTTTGGCTCTGGTTATTTCTAGTTGAAGCATATACACAAAAACCACACCAATTCATGTCTCCAGTCAACCCCGGCAATTTTACCTATTCCTAATACCTCAGGTTGGCCCTTAATTACTATTTTCCTTTCTGACATTCTAAACCTGAAATGCACATTATTACCCTCTGCTTCCACTTCCTCAATCAGTTATTAAACTATAAAAAAATAATACGGACAACAACTTCAAAGAAAAAAGTTAGGAGCGATCACAACATATTTCTGAGAGCAGCATCTCCCAAAATTTTGGGACTGATTAATCCCTATTGATCAGGCAGCAGCAAATACGCCAAAGAGAGTTTCTAGAACTGATCAATATTCGTCTTGTATACATAGATTTAAAAAAAAAAAAAATAGAAACAAAAATCCTAATTTCCAGATCACTGAAACTTTATCTGCAAAAACATTCAGTAGCATATGGAATGAATGTAAGAAGGGTATACATGGCACGTATTATAGCGCAGTACACCTTCAGTGAACAAGGCTGGTTACCTGTTACAGAACCTGAAACTGGATTAAAAAACTCCTTTTAAAAAAAAAAAATAAACACAGAATTTTACACATTGTAAGATGCCTACCCTCCACAGTGGCCACGTTCTCCTTCCCATACGAGCCCTGCATATGTTGACTAACCAGGCTGAATGGATCGGGTAACGGCTAAATTCCACCTTTGCTCTTGCAGAAGAGAAAAAAAAAAGTACTTTGGGGCTCTTTCTCCCAAATAGCCATTGATTTTCAGTGATTATCTTAAAGATTTCTACGTTGCTTTCAAATTTGGTTGATATTGGACGACAGCTTCAAAATTTATTTAGGAGGGAACACGGTGATAAAACAGAGCAATCACCTAAGCTGTTCTCAGGACAGCAGAATAAACTGCTGTCCTGGATGTAAACTTAGGACTCGGTAAGTTTACCAACAATATTCTTTCCAATACCAACTAAATCATTTACAGGCACCATCACCCAAACAAAGACAGCAGAATGTTTTGAATGGTTAAACGCCATCGATCCTGATGGAAACACTCTCTGTATCGTGATTTCAGCTGGGCAGGTTGATCATTTCTGAAAACTGACCCTACTCCAAAGAAGTCCCTATAAAGAAATAGGAGCCTTGACTTTGGCTTTACCAGATGACATTAACAAAGCGTATGGGTTTTTGTCTCCAGAAACAGAGAATTTAAGTCCACACAACATTCTTCAGTCTTAATATGTGAAATATTAAAATTATGTCCCATTATTCTTCTCTCTTGAATTTTCAGAGTACAGTGTACAATACGCACACATGTATGTAGGTGGGAAGGAATTTTTTAACTCCTCATTTCCATGAGATAACACAGAGAGAACAGTTTTGAATTGAACTCCGAGAACTCGTTTAAAAAACCTACACCAACAAACTTAAAAAATATTAACCAACCTGCCACCATCTATTGCCTAACAGACTGGCAGCAGTCACATCCTGCTAACACTAGTTTGACATTCACCTCTCACTTCTCTTTCAAGTGAGAAATTTCATTTGACTTTATAGGCGTCCTACATACATTACCTCTTGGAGTCACCTTACACTTCCGATGTGGGAGCTGCTGAGAAACCCCTGTACCCCATGAGTTATCTCCACTGGTGTCAGCAGCTGACACCACAGATTGAGTTACTGGGCAGCCTGTAATCCTCAGCCCTGTCCCTACTGTTCCCACTTCTCAGGCACACAGCTTCACTGCTCTCCCATGATGGATACTTAGACCTTGCAATAAAAGGATGAATCACTCAGGAGCAAAAACAAGTTTTGTATTTCATTCTAAACTACTACTACTTCTCTCACACTCCACGGGAAAGAGGATGAACCAAGGTTCAAGATTCAAAAGGAACATTATATAGCACTTCAGTAAGTTTGCCTTCACCAAAAGTTATGCATACCTTTAAGAAACAGTTACAGAAGGCACACACCTTTCTGGGTCTGATTCTCCCATTTTATGAGAAACTCTACATGACTACTTAGTGTCCAAACAACAGCAGAACAAATAACATGTGTAGCTGGAAAAAAAAAAAAACAAAAAACTTAAAATTAACCCCATATTTCTGACCACAGCAAATTTTCTACCAACTTAATTTAAAAAAAAAAAAAAAGAAAAAACAAAAAAAAAACCAAAAAAAAGAAAAAAAAACCCCCAAAATAAAAGACGTTTCCCATTTTTAAAAAAAAAAAAAAAGACAACCAAAAAACAACCAAAAAAAAAAGCAAAAAAAACCCCCAGAATTACAGACTGTTCTCATCTTTGAGGTGCAAAATGTTCTTGAACTGTTCTGTTCTGAAAAACAACATGGGAATTCACTGTGATGTCTCAAATACTGTTTTTCAAAGCATTGCAGCTCCGTTACATAATTTGGTCCCCAGACGTCCCACTGGTGCAAACAATTAGACAGCAACACGTACCAGCCAACGTTATGGTTATTACCAAATAACTATTAAGCGGAAAAACAAAAGTTGGAAGTCTAAAGGTATAAACCATGGCTCTAGTAACATTTTTGTACATGTTCAAAGTCCCCCAGGACTTCAGTGAAGTCAGAGTTTTCAAACTCCTTGCATTAAAAGGAGCTCGCCACCTCTCTGCCTGGCCAACACGGTGATATCTACATAGTGCTAGCACCTCCTAGCAGCTGTAACATCTTAGAAAGACATTTAGAAGACACTAAACGACTTAAAAATTTGGCAGGCCAGCACTGGAATTCAGCTGTGAGGTTTAGAAGGTCCCATCATCGCATTATTAATGTTTAATGAAAAGTCCTAGTGCTCCTCACTGAATTACCAGAAAGCAGTTATAGTATAATCCCAACGATGCAGCAGATGAGCGCCCAAGACACCCGCTTCTAATTTAAAAGGAAAACAATGATCATGTCCCTTCACTGCAGAACTTAAAGATAGTGCAGAAAGAAAAGGATATTCTCCAAAAGTGTCTCTGTGTGTGTGAGTGAGAGAGACAGAGAATATTAAAAGAAATGCCAAATCAGTATATTTCTAGCTGAAAAATGAACTAGCTAACAGGAGGAAAAAGAGGAAGGGAAAAAAAAAAGGCAAGAGGAAAATGCACGATGTACTGTATCTTAAATGCTTTAGTTTTAAAATCTCAGTCTTCAGTGTTTACCAATAAGTCATCATCTAAACACAGTCTAATTCTGGATGAGATTTTATCTACACAGATACTTGATCAAACGTCATTTAGCCTCACACAGCCAATTAGCATTCAGGAGTCAGCTGCTTGAGACACTTTCTTTCATGAAATAACATGGCATCAGATTTTCCAAAGTAAACCCTAAAAATTCCTAATCCAAAGTGTTCAGCATATAGTGTGACATCAAGGTCAAGCAGAAGCTAGCTGTTATTCCAGTGGCTTTAATTAGTTTTATTTTATCATACCCATGGTATCTCCTTACTGAATTCTTTATAGCAAGGCTAAAAATGTAAAGAGGCACCAGAAGGAATACTGCGAGCTGAAAAATGGCTTTTAGGATTTCCTATGTGAGCTGATGCATTTAATAACGCTTATTTCTCCCATGTTTGATCTTTCCTCATAACACTAATAGAGAAAGCAAACAAACAAAGAATCTCTTAGTGTCAACACACCTGCGGAAGATGATTGTTTGTGTAAGACATTGACTAATCGTGCAGGACGCAACTGATTCTCATCCCATTCCAGTCCTGGTTAGTTTTTAAAACCGAGAAAAAGCTTTGTTACTGGGTTAAGCGCACCAAACCGTCACCTTGGGCTGTTAAACCCTCCGAGCAGCCCACGTTTGCTGCGATACAGCCCGGGGAGGTGCCAAGGAACGAGCAGGACACGGGCAGAGGGGGCTGCCAGCGCATCAGCCGGCACAACCGGGGCTTCGGGGACCTCCAGGCGCCCCTGAAGGCGAAGAGCAGCGAAGAGAGCCCCGAGCAGCTCTGCCCGGCTCAGAACCGTCGCTCTGCCCCGGGAGAGCAGCGTGTGGGAGGGATAAGGGGGCAGCGCGGGCGGGGAGGGACCGGGGGACCCCGCCGGGAGCCCGGCAGCAGCGTGGATGGGACCCCGCGGCCCCACCGCCGCCTCCCCGGCCCGGCCGCTGGAGCGCTGCCCCGCCGAGTCCCCTCCGCAGGCTGGGGGTCACTTGTCACTCCCCGTCCCTGCGACCCCGACCCTCCTCCCGACACCGCAAGGGCTCTGGAGCCGGTGGCGAGGCGGCCTCCCCCTCTACGTCCTCCGCGACCCCGGCCGGGGCGAGTGAAGGGACGGGCTCCCCGCTCCCCTGTACCTCTTTGCGACGGCAGCGGCGCCGGCTGCCCTCGGCTACCGAGCGCCGCCAGGAGCAGGAGGAGCGGCAAACTTTCCCGTGCCATGGCTCCCGGGCAGCCCAGCCGACGGCTTGTCCCGCCCGTCCCGGGCCGGCCAAGCGAGTGGAACCGCCGCCCGGCAGAGAGAGGAGGGGAGAGGAGCTCCCGGTGCCCCGGGCAGGGCGGCAGGACACACCCCTGCCTGCCCCTCAAGGGACGGGCTCCCCGCTCCCCTGTACCTCTTTGCGACGGCAGCGGCGCCGGCTGCCCTCGGCTACCGAGCGCCGCCAGGAGCAGGAGGAGCGGCAAACTTTCCCGTGCCATGGCTCCCGGGCAGCCCAGCCGACGGCTTGTCCCGCCCGTCCCGGGCCGGCCAAGCGAGTGGAACCGCCGCCCGGCAGAGAGAGGAGGGGAGAGGAGCTCCCGGTGCCCCGGGCAGGGCGGCAGGACACACCCCTGCCTGCCCCTCCCCGCCCCGCCGCTCTCCGCCCCGCCGCCGCTCTGCCCGGGGGCAGCCGAGGCGGCGTGAGCGGCCGGTGGGCCCTCGGGGAGGGCGGAAAAAGCCGGGAGCGGCGGGCGGCGGAGGGGAGGCGGGAGGCGGCTGAGGCCCCTCCACCTCTGGGCGCCGGGCGGCACGAGGCGAAGCGCGGCGCGAGGGAGGCGGCACGTGCCCCACGCCTAACGGCCGCGGCGCGCGCCCCCAACGGCCGCCGGGGGCCCCGGGCGCGAGGGGAGGCCCGGCTGCCCTGGGAAGGGCCTGGCAGCTGGACACAGAAACGTTTACCCCCTTATCCCGGGGGGATAAAGATACAGAATGACAGAATCTTCTAGGTTGGAAGGGACCTTAAAGATCATCTTGTCCAACCGTCAACCTCACTGACAAAAATAGACACCCACACAACAAACAAGGAGCATCATCACTAAACCAGACCTCCCAGCACTACATCAACCCGTCTTTTGAACACCTCCAGGGATGGGGCCTCAACCACCTCCCTGGGCAGCCCATTCCAATGCCTGATAACCCTTTCAGTGAAAAAATGTTTCCTAATATCCAGCCTGAACCTCCCCTGGCACAACTTGAGGCCATACCTGTCCTGTGGGGGATAATAAATAAATAAATAAAACCTTTCTGGGTAGGCGCTCAGAAAACCGGAATTGCAAATATTTGAGACCCCACCTGGAATACTGTGTCCAGCTTTGGAGCCCTCAACAGAGAAAGGACATGGACCGGCTGGAACAGGTGCAGCGGAGGGCCATGAGGATGATCAGAGGGATGGAGCACCTCTGCTATGGAGACAGGCTGAGGGAGCTGGGATTGTTCAGCCTGGAGAAGAGAAGGCTCCGGGGAGACCTTATAGCGGCCTTTCAATACCTGAAGGGTGCCTATAGAAGAGCTGGGGAGGGACTCTTTGCCAGGAAGGGTAATGATAGGACAAGGGGAAACAGTTTTACATTGGAAGAAAAAAGATTCAGATTAGATCTCAGGAAGAAATTTTTTCTATGAGGGTGGTGAGACACTGGAACAGGTTGCCCAGAGAAGCTGTGGCTGCCCCATCCCTGGAGGGGTTCAAGGCCAGGCTGGATGGGGCCTTGAGCAACCTGGTCTGGTGGGAGGTGTCCCTGCCCAGGGCAGGGGGGTTGGAACTGGATGATCTTTGAGGTCCCTTCCAACCCTAACCATTCTATGATTCTATGAGTCTATATTTTTTTGGGCCCCTCAACAAAAAAAAAAGCCATTGAGGGGCTGGAGCGGGTCCAGAGAAGGGCAACGGAGCTGGTGAGGGGTCTGGAGCACAAGTCTGGTGAGGAGCAGCTGAGGGAGCTGGGGGTGTTCGGCCTGGAGAAAAGGAGGCTGAGGGGAGACCTTCTCGCTCTCTCCAACCCAGAGTGCTTAGTGACATGGGATACTGATGGCTTTTATCAGAGGGAGGTTGATGGCTAGACTAGACGATCGTAAAGGTCCCTTCCAACCCAGACAATTCCATAATTCTGTGACTGAAGGAAGAAACAGGGCCCAGGGCTGCTCTTGCCAGGGGGCTGGTTGAGCCGCAGCGCGGGCAAAGGAACAGCAGTTCTGAAAACTGAGAGGGATTTGGCTTTATTAGCTCAATTGACGACTTCTCTTTTCCTTCCCCTTTCTGTTTCCCCATCCCTTGAGGCAGGGGATGGAGCTTGTTCCCTGCCCCAGACCCCGGGACTCCCAAGGAACACTCTGCATGACGCTGAGCCCGCACTTGTCGGAACAGAGGGTCGCAGCCCCGTCTCACAGGCACCATTGTGATGTGGTTCTGGAGATAAAAGGCAGCGCCAAGGAGCGGGTCAGTGTGAAGCCTCGGAGGACGCTCGCTCGTCCTCAGCTCCAGCAGAAGCTTCACCCTGGGATTGGAGAGTCGGAGCCATTCCTCACCCTACAGGAATTGGCAACAGATTACAGACTTCTTCTGCCTTCACTGCCTTACCCGCGGGCATGGTAAATACCAACTTGGGTTATTGCTGCAAAGAACTGAAGTTTCTCTAATGCAGAGTTAACTCATCTGGGATTGACAGAGCTGTAGGAAACCCTACAACGGCCACCAACACCAGAATTGATTAGCTGGGGTAGCTCTGCCATTACATCAAGGGAGTTTCACAGAATCACAGAATCTTAGTGGTTGGAAGGGACCTCCGAGATCATCGAGTCCAACCACAAAAAAAAAACAAACCCAAAAACCCAAAAAACCCCAAAAAACCCCACACAACCACCACAAAAAGAACAAACCAAAAACCACCACCCACCAACTAAACCCCACACCCACAACCCCACGTACTACACCCCACGACAAACCTATAATATTGGGCACTAGAGCATGCCCTGAAGAGCCACGTCTACACGTTTCTTAAATACCTCCAGGGTATTTATTTCTCCCCGGCGGGGACAGGCAGGGGTTTAACTTCATTCCCCCTGGGGGAAGTTGAGCAGAGGTGGGGATGCCGCCCGTCTTGCTAAGATGAGCTGATGTCTGGCCTCTCTCCTCAAGGAGACCAAGACCGCGACCCGTTCACGGAAACGGGAGTTGGAGGCCAATCTCCGGGCTGCCTGGCGGGAGCTGGAGTCTCTGTACCGAGAGGCACTGAGGTGAGGGAACCTGCTTGGTGATCCTCATGGAGAAGCTCTGGGCGGTTCTTGCCGTGGGGATGAGAAACCTCTCTGACAAGTCTTTGCAGGCTCCAGAACCATCCAAAGAGCCCCAAAGATGCTGACGCCTGCCCGGCAAAGCGTCCCTGACCTCAACAACAACGTTGGTGGTAAGTACCTTACCTCAAGCACTGGAAATAGTGGGAAATGGAGCCTTCTGCAGGGACTTGACCTCTTGACGAGACTGGTGCCTGATGACCCACCAGAGCTATGGCACCCATGGTGCCTTTCTCCTTCCCCTCCTCTTGGGCACTGCCTGCATCCAAGCAATGTTTCCCTTTGGCCTCCTACAGGTCAAGTGGCCAAAACCATCTTTCTGAACTCTCTGTCTACAGCCCCTCGGGACGCAGGCAGGAGACCAGAGACAGCAGGGACTGGAGGAGCTCTTCTGCCACAGAAGACCGTGTAAGTGTTTCTCAAGGAGTGCTTGCTGTTCAGGGCCTCTTCTCCTCTGGACTCCTCCCAGCACCCCCCTCAAGCTCCATGTCCTTCCTCACAGCAACACACACTGTGTCCCTGAGAGGTCCTTTCCCAGGGAATCCTCTACCCGGAATAGCCTCTGTCTTGCTGGGAAGCCTGGAGACCCTGGGCTCTTCTGGTTCCATGTGGTCTCAGCCACATCGCTCTTAACAAATGTGGCTTGTACCTGAAGAATTGCATCCAACCCCAGCGAATCCTTTCCTGAAATGGCTGTCCCCTCTCTCTTGCAGAACACCACCAGTCCTGGGCACAGCTCCCAAAAGCCACCCTGATGGCAGCGAGAAGGGGGGCGGCGATGGGCGCAGCACCCGCAGGGGCTGTCCTGTCCCATTCTTGGGCAGGACCACCTTCAACTCCTCGTTCCCTGAGCCCAAGAAACCAACAGGGAAGAGTAAGTACAAACCACACAATGTCCTCTCCCTCACCTGCTCCTTCACCAACGCTCCAACCTGCTGCTTCTCCCGGCTCGGCAGCAGGGGGGATGTTGGTGGCCTCTCTCCTCTCCCCAAGGAGACGCAGCCAAAGGCTGCTCAAAGGCCTACGCCTGCCGGGCCTCTGCTTGGCCAGGGCTGCAGCTTGGAATCGCTCTCTGCTCCCCTCCTCTCTGCCTCCTGCTTTCAGGGCAGGGGATTGGGGTCCATTTCTCTTTTCTTTTGTTTGCTCTCTTGCAGAAACCGCGCCCTTGATGGCCAAGGCTATTCAAGCCTACAAAAAGAAGTTGTCTAGAAGATAAGGTTGTAGGCAAGACCTGGGACTTTCTCTCTCACGCAATGTCAAGTCTTGGCAGCGGTGGAGAGTAGAAGATCCCGGGACTATTTACTATTTATTCTCTTATATACTCTTATGTACTTATATACTATTTATTCTCTTAATAAATTAGACTGTGTTTTTCGTTGATACTGTGGTCATCATCACTCTCGCCCTCATCCAAGGCACATCCCCCCCAACAGCAGTGCTGGGGGCAGTACCCACACCCGACGTGCGGCTCTAGCATCACCTCAGGGGCACTTGAGCAGCGCCCAAGATTGGTCTCGGGCCTCAGCCCGACCCTTTGCTCAAGGCTCCTCTGGGGCCTCAACACGATGCCAGGCTCCCCTTCCCTCCCCTCTCCCCCTGCCCCAAGGACAGAGGGCAAATGAAGGGTGGCCCAGCGCTCAGCAGAGGAGAACACATTGTCACCTCATGAAAAATACAGCACAATGAAATACAGCAAAACTGCCCCAGCAAGGAGCCCTTACTTTACACCACAACACACGCTGAAATGCTGCACGGGAACATGAAAGCACCTGGGGCTGGAACAAAGTAACAGCACAGCAGAGGCTGAGAACATTTCTCTGAGAGGTTCAACAAGGCCAAGTGCCGGGTCCTGCCCTTGGGTCACACCAACCCCCTGCAGCGCTCCAGGCTGGGGGCAGAGGGGATGGAGCTGCCCGGCAGAAAAGGACCTGGGGGTGTTGGTGGCCTGTGGGCTGAACAGGAGCCAGCAGTGTGCCCAGGTGGCCAAGGCGGCCAACAGCATCCTGGC